ATTTTAAAAAAATATAAAGCATTAGTATCATATATAAATATTTAAGGATAGCACACTGAAAAAAGCTTGATTTTGTATTCATGGTTAATGGTACAAAAGAAATATTAAGCCTAAGACTACATACTCAGGAAATACAAATATATATATTACACTGAAAACTATTTCCTTATTTTAAAAACATAAGCATAAATAACATCTAACTTGACAGATTGCTAAACTGGGAAATGACTAAATTTCCTGAAAACTACAGATAAGTTTAAGGTCAAATAAGTTCAGTCAAATAAGGAACAATACATATGATCAAAAAGTCAATCTAGAAATGATGATGTAAAAAACAAGCAAAAATCTTCTGCAAAGGCAATTAAGACAAATGCTGATATTAAAAATATGCAATGAGTGGGATTACCTACCACCTCCAAAGAGAACATAACAGAATTTCATAAGTGGTTAACCAGCTTTAAGATTCCAGACAGTCAAGGTTGCTGTGATTATCTGTTACAGAGAAACTGACCTACAGAATACAAATAGATTCCGGCAACGGTATCGAAAAGGCAAAGATAATCTAAGAAGTCCTTGAGGCACCTTGTCACTACATCCATCACTTAAATCTATGGGCCTCAGTAATTTGGGAATGAAATTAATCAAAATGGTCCACAGGTCATTGGTCAGGTTTATTTAGTCATCAAAAAAGCTGGCCTAATTAACCAAACATTATGAAAAATGTCTTCTCTGGAAACCTTCACTTTGCCAACAAAGGGAACTTTTGAGACTAAACAAAACCAACAGCAGTTACTTAAATGCTGCATTCTACTTAACTTTTCAGATCCTCCTGAAGGAAGAAAAAAAAAGTATGATGGAATTCATGAAAATTTTTTTTTGTTAAAGGAGAACCGTGAATATTCTTTTGTTTCTATCACTGTTGTTTTTTTAAAAAATTTATTCTTACCAAAGTAAACATGAACATGGTTCAGAAGATTCTATTCGAATAGTGCAGAAGGGTTTGTAATGAAAGCCACAGCCTCCTGCCTCAGCCCTTCATGGCCCATTCCTACTTCTCAGGGAAATCACTTTTGGTTGATTTGGGGGTTTGGTTTCTCTAGGGATCACCATCAAGTCATTAAATAATGTGTTATAATTATATCGCTTTTATAAATCACTTTTTTTTACATTATCTATTAACTTCCTACCAGAATTCATCTCTTTCATCCCTTCCCACATTCCCACACATACAACTGCTTATAGACATCATCTATTTATATCACAACTTTGCTTTATCTATCAAGTACCTTCTTCATTTTAAATACTATAAATACAATAGTTACGCCATTGTTCTTCTACCAAATGTACCTTTTATCTTAAGAAGAGTAGGGCTTTCTCCTTTTCTCCTCTTCCTCCTCTCACTACTACCACTATGTTAGCTTATTCTATTGGGATTTTTCTCTCTTTTGGTCAGCATTACTCCAATTATATAAAGCAAAGAAGAAATTCACTATTGTCTATCACAACCTCATTAGAGCCTATAATTGTATGTTATTGCTGGTGATGTATTTGTGTCATATTTTTGAAGACTGACTTATTCATTATGAAAATCCATTTTAATAACATGCATTTTGTTCTTCATGTTACAAATGAACTTAAGTCAAATTTCTCAAAAAACAACTTTTTAATCAACCAAGGAAGTACGAATTGTAAATGAATAAGAATTCTGCTGCCTTCAACTTTAGGTGAATTTATCTTTGAAGCTAGAGGTCTTTCACAGTGGATTTCTATCATTAGAAACATTATAGATTTTGGATAACTTAATTGTTTTGGCACATTACAGACTAAGAGCAGATTAACAAGAATCATCTTTTATCTTAATCCTTCTGTACTGAGTACCAGGTTCCCTTGACCAAACAGTTCTTTCCATCACTACCTGACAACCTCTGGTACAGGTCATCCTGCATCCCTTCTGTCTCCATCCTAGTCCACAACACCAAACAGTTTATCACGCTCAGGGCCACCAATCTGAGCATGATGGCTGTAGATACATATATAGCTGATGATAAAAAGGCCATGGATCTGGACAGGGCTTGGTATTAACAAGATTACAAATTAGAGATATGATATGGAAACCCCAAGTGTCTTTAGGAACAGAGAAAAGCAACATGTATCAAGTAATGCTTGAGCAAGCTAAGAGCATGGCTCTAGAGCAGGGGTGGGCAAACTTTTTGACTCGAGGGCCACAATGGGTTCTGAAACTGGACCGGAGGGCCGGAACAAAAGCATGGATGGAGTGTTTGTGTGAACTAATATAAATTCAAAGTAAACATCATTACATAAAAGGGTACGGTCTTTTTTTTTTTTTAGTTTTATTCATTTCAAACTGGCCGGATCCGGCCCGCAGGCTGTAGTTTGCCCACGGCTGCTCTAGAGTCAGCATGCCTGGTTCAGCGATCAGCTCCGCCGCCACCAGCGATGTGACTTGAGCATGTGACCCAAACATCTGCACCCTTCATTTAAGAAATTGAGTTGTTACAAAGATGAAAAATAATTATATGTAAATAAGGCATTGAGTATGCCACGTGGCATATAATAAGAGTTTAACAAATGAGACTCACTAAAATTATTACTATCATTATTATAATGTTATTGGTGAGAGAGCCTTGTTTTTATGTTGGACCTAATTACATCTTTCACTCCTACACACCTGCAAGTCAAATAGATGTCCTTCTTTTTCAAAAATCTGCCATTTCTTCTCATTGCAGTCATTGCTAACAGGGTTGGCGGGCAAAGAGCTCAAGCTGGCCCTCCTGGGCTGAGCTCCCTGAGATGTTAACCCCACACTCTTGCAGGTCCTGGTTTCATGTTATGTCCTCCAAATGCTTTCATCATGTCACTTCTTAGAGTCAGCCCTAATTTTTTAAGGTGTATTTGAATAACCTTACATTTGGGACCAGCTAAGAATGCAAAAAACAGATGTGCTATCTTTCAGAAAGAGTGAAGAAATCCTAAGAAAGACTGATTCAGTACTACCTGGGATTATGATGAAAGTCTATCACCTAGAAGCTACTGTTAACAAAAGCAAATAATAATAATAATAATAATAATAATAATAATAATAATAATGAGATAATTTGGTCTTAGTTCCCTACTAGACATATTTGGGGCAAAGGAAAGCACATTTCCATGGAATTTTTAAAATATTAAAAATGAGATTTTTTTTAAAAAAGTGAGAGGAACAAAGAAATTTAGCTCATGGACCTAAAACTTACAAGTGAAATAGCAAACAAATAGCTACTGTAATCTCAAATGGTAATCCTTCCTTGCAGCCTTTCTCATTTTATTGGACCAAATATTTCAAGCCTCATCTGTGTTCTATTATAATCCTAAAGACAACATGATATCTAGGATAGTGTTTACATACAAAAATCACGCTAAATCAGGAGATGATATAAACTAACATCCAGATTCTCTTTACCCCAAGATTTTATATAATTAAGTTGTCTTTTTAAAAACAACAACAACAACCCTGAAATGACAATTTTCTCCTTTGGCACAGAGTGTTTTTGGCTCCACTTAGATGCCAGCGTAGTCTCATCACGAAAATAAATTAAAAGTAGGTGGTCTGGTTAGTCTTCACAATGCTACATTTTAATCAGGCAAAGCAGTGAAAAAGATGATTGTCGAATTGCTGGCATGTCTTCAAACAACAGTGCAAGCTGTCCATTTTACTCACAATGAAAAAGCTCTTCAAGAGATTTCGATAAAGGTTTCCCTCCTACTTGCAGTCCACATTTGTAATGTTTATATAAGTGGGGGATATAAATCTTGCTCCAATGAACCCCATGGTTTTTAAAGCAGACTTCTTGTTATAAACTGCCTGTTTCCGTTTTGCCTGCCTAAGCAAGCCAGGCAAAGCCCATTCGCGAGAGACTGGAACTAATTTAATGTGCTCCAGGTTGAAGCCCCAGCCTCCGCGCCTTCACAGGGAGATTTTACGCAGTGGATTACTGCTGACTTTAACAATGATTCATACGATAAGTGGCTTTTGATTTGTTTTTTAATGTCAGAAAATATGCATTGGCAAAAGGAATGTCATTAAGATCATTTTGTTAAAGCGGTACCATAAAAATAGAAAAAAATGTTCAACTTTTCAAAAAGAAAAAGGAAAAAAAGGGGGGGGGCAGTCTAAATGTTACTCATGCCAAAGGCTTGTTCACATGAATTTGTAATTTTACTCGCAAAAGAACCCGAAGTTGTTTACAGAGAGTTAGATTTAAAACTGGATGAATTCCAAGATTACGATTGGTTGAATTGATGTACCTCGCTACAAGACTCGTTCCCATTATTAAAAATACCGAAGTCACACTGTAGACAGACAAAAGCATCATTCTTCATCCAGCCTCAAAGATATCCTGTACAGTTTTTTTCAAAGATGCAAAATTCCTTGAAACCAACACTAATTAAAACAAAAACACATTCACATTCACAAAGCCCAGGGTAAGATCCATCATCTAAATTATGTCAGGGGAGGAAAGTCTCCTCTGTTTAACTGAAAGGAACAGAGCGGCTGAGACATTAATTCAAAAGAAAACAAACTGAGAAACAAAAGTCTACATTGTGCTAGTATTCTAGATTTCTGCATTGCAGGGGCCTGAACCACTCATCAGAATGTGCTTCTTTTTAAATGCTAAATGTAATAAGATATACTTGTCCTCGTCATCTGTTTCTCCTTTTTTTTTTTTTTTCTCCTTAATCTTCCTTTGAAAGGGCTAAGCAAAGCCTTACAGTAGGGGGCAGTATTGTAACGTCATGCTCAGTCTTGAAACAAGAGCTGACTGAAGGAGGAAAAAGGACCATTATTCTTCATTAACATTACACCATGTTGGCATAATTATCCTAATTTATTACAAAATTTTAGTTTTTTCCCTGACTCCAACTTGCTTTTTCACTCCCTATTTACAATATTAAGGTGTCTTAAATGATACAAAAAACAAATGCTTTTTATAAAAACCTACCCAAATATCTGAGACATGTTGATTGCTACTTAGCAGTAGAAGAACTATTTATTGAATGTCATATTTCATGCACATGAAGACTTCTCCAATTGCAAATATCCAGATGTTCTTTATTATAAATAAAATATCACATAGGGAGATGGTTAAAAAAAAGAGAGAATAAATATTTCATCTTGGTTAAAATGAAATGCAGAGCTGGTGTAGAAGCACTAGCCAAGGTGACCAATGCTAATTGATGCTAATTTCAAAAATACGAGGTAAGAAAATATTTACAAGCACAAGAATGTATTTGTACTTTCAGAAATAAACTTTTTCTTTCCGTTTGCCTAGAATGGTTCTTGGCTGGCCTGCTAGGAAATATGGAAACTGAAACTGTTTGTACTAAATGCTTGGTTTCCAATGACTTACAATGCTTTGGGAGTTTGCAGAGGAAAAAGCAAACTTTTTTGCCAGGTTCCAAGAATAAAACCTATAGATACATAATGAGATTTTTTAAAACCATACATAATGGTAATCCATATGGCTTTCTCTAAATTCCATAAATTTGAGTGATTAAAACTTTTATTTAATACGTAAAAGCCTTAAGATCATTAAATAAAACAAAAACTAATTATCTGACTTTAAAACAATCAAGCCCCATGCAGTCTTAACAAGAGTTTATGCTTATCTTTGTCTTTAATTTCAACTCAAAGATTTGTTGGCTTGCTTATTTTAAGAGTGGGGTGTTACAGATTCAAACAACGATTTTTCCCCAATCTAATAATTCTACTGAAAAATTCAATATTAAAGCTATTCCTTTCTAGACATATGAGCCAATATGTTTAAGTGTACAAAAAGAGATCCTATAAAAGCAAAAGCATTATTGAGACATAATAAGAAGCCAAGAATTCATTCAATCATGTATGAACAATATAAATTCTAAATTTCATTACTTCAAGTTATGTTAAGTTTATTCCTTACTTTTCTCTACTTCTCCATTTCTGTTTAAGTTGTTTAAAAGTTAGAGCTTCCTTGGTTTTATGTTGTGTGAGTAAGAGCATGTGTGTGCATGTGCGTGTGTGTGTGTGTGTGTGTGTGTGTGCATGTGTACATGATCCTACAGGACTCTGCCATGTATGCTTCTTGGAGAGTGGTCTGCCCCACGGCCTTTTCATCAAGGTCTTCTCAATTGTGATGGTTTCCTTTTTCAAGACTTAACAGAAAAACTGGACCTATAATTACCACCAAATTTCCCCTCAAAGTGAGCTCAACAACATATATTTGAGTTGCCAGTTGAGACATAATTCTTCATAATTATTGTACAAAAGAGCTCATGACAGTTGCAACAAAGTAACTGACTAATGGAAGAGCACCAGGTATGCATTTTCTTGAAACATCTGTTTGAAACTCTCAGTCATTTGAAGAGTATGTAAAATGGTCCTATCTTCTAATTAGTTTCTCACCAGCCCCAACAGCACTGCCAAAGTGATTTTAAGTAGTAGGCAGGAGCCAAGATTTTTCTGTGGCAAAGCTGATGGAACCATGCGGTTCTTCCAAAAGCCAGCATTATTTCATCTCCAATTGCTGGCCTTTGTGACAGAGAAGGGGGCAGCATTTTTCTTCTAATAAAAACATGTTTTCCTTATGTTCTTAACATCTTAACATCTCTCTGTCACCTAAAATCAAAAAGCATCCTAACAAACCCCGTAAATGTGTACTTACTTTCTTGCCTCTCTTCCTTCATATAGGAGGAGTGACCCAGAAACACCAGGGTATGAGCTTTGGGTTATGTGGTATATAATAGGAAATATATTTGACCTTTGTGTCAGGTTCCTGGCACAGAGCTCCTAAATCCCTTGGAATTACCTGTATGACAAGAGTGTTTTTCATTATTCATAACAAGCCCCTTTTGATGATCACATCTGGGTTTAGGCTCAGGAGGTGACTTAGGGTGGGGTCCTTAGGTAACCTCAGATGGGAATGGTCACAGAAAGGCCAAGTGATTAGAGGGTTGAAACCTTCTGCTCCTCCTACAGTCCTATAGGGAAAAGAGGGGGGCTGGAGACTGACCTCTATAAAAGCTCTTGAACAGGAGATTTAATGGGGTTCCAGATTGGTGAACAGATTGCTGGCAGAGTGGCACCAGAGAGGGCTGGAAGCTCCATATCCTGCCAACCTCTATACTTTGCCCTATTCATCTCTTCCATTTGTTCCTGAGTTGTATCCTTTATAATAAATCGGCAAATGTAAATGAAGTGTTTTTGCTGAGTTCTATAAGCCATTCTAGCAAATTACTGAACCTAAGGAGGGGATCATAGGAAACTCTGATTTATAGCTAGTCAGTGAGAAGTAACAGTGGCCAAACTTACAACTGGCATCTGAAGTGGGGGCAGTCTTGTGGGAGAGAGCCCCTTTAACTTGGCGGATCTGATGCTAGCTCCAGGTGGGTAGTGTCAGAATTGAATCGAATTATTGCACACCCAGTTGGTGTGTAACGAATTAAAGAAATGGTTGGTGTTGAGAAAACATCCTCAGTTATAGTTCCATAGTATGGATGGGTTGAAGCCAGGAGCCTCTCATATGACCCATGACAGAATTTCCAAGTGCATTATTAGCTTGGGCTACAATAGACTGCATTGCTTAAACAAGAGACATTTTTCCCCTCACAGTTCTTAAGGCTGGAAGTCCAAGATCAGAGGGCCAGCATGGTTGGGTTTTGGTGAGGGCTCCCTTTCTGGCTTTCAGATGGCTGCCTTCTTACTCTGTCTTCACATGACAGAGAGAAAGCAAGCAAGCTCTCTGGTGTCTAGTCTTATAATGTACTCACTAATCCTATTGTGAGGGCTCTACCCTCCAAACTTCATCTAAACCTAATTATCTCCCAAAGGCCCCGTCTCCAAATATCATCACACTAGGGTTAGAGGGCTTCAACATATAAATTAAGGAGGATACAATTCTGTCCACAGCACTGAGATTGTTGGCCAGAATCAGAAATACAGCTTGGAGCCATATAATAATATTTCTTTCTATGGGTGGATAGCTATATTGCACCTGAACCCTTAAAACTAGGATATAAGCAACTGAGTCAACCTAGAGTCAGTGTAATAGAGGTCCATGTTAATTCCTACCCAGCAGCCTCTCCTGCTCTCCTTCCCACCCGTCCACCTCCAAACTCACCCTCAACAACAAAAACTCCCTGTAGGATGTAAGAAGTATTATGAATGTGAAGCTCTGAAAATGTTGAACTGTTAAAGTGTATTAGAAATGAAAGAAATTACTACAGCATCCTGATATAATCAGACTTAAATGCAAAATATATGCACTGTCTCTGTGACTAATAACAGAGTTTTCTCTACTTAAGGTGAAAGTAAAAATCAGCTTCTAGATAAAAGATCGGGGCTTCCTGTGTGGAAACTCAGGAGACAGGACAAGAGCTCTGCTAACTGAAAGAAGTTTTCCTCCATCAAGTGGAGTCTCTGGTTTCAGCAAAATATGTTCAGATCAAATCCTGACTATATATTTACTATTGAAGGGTAAATGTAGAGAAAAGTATATTGTTTTAAGGGCATACATTTAATCTACATTATGATCTGTGTAGCATCTAATAGACTCAATCTCATAACACACACACACACACACAAACACACACACTGAATTCCCTTTATGCATCTGAGATATATAAATCCATTCTCAAGATCAAAATTTTAGCAGTTTGAGTACTTGCTGGAAAATATAGTTGATATTATCATCTATATATATAAAAGCCTAAGCGACTGGCTGACCAGACAACCAGTAGTTATGACACACACTGACCACCAGGGGGCAGACACTCAATGCAGGAGCTGCCAAGCTGCAGTCACTTGGCAGCTGCAGTTCTCAGGTGACACACCTGGAACCAGAGAGGAGGGAGCCTGATTCCAGGGTGTATCACCCAAGAACTGCCCTCTCACAATCCGGGACCCCTCAGGGGATGTTGGAGAACTGGTTTCAGCCCGATCCCCACAGGCCAGGCTGAGGGACCCCACTGGTGCATGAATCCATACACTGGGCCTCTAGTTTATAAATAATAGGAACATAGATCTTAAAAAGAGAAAGTATGGTCAAATATTCCCTTTAGTTTGTACTTTTGACTCTAGAGAGACCAGATAGGTGTAATTGAAGATTTGTAAGTAACATTTTAAATTTTAGAAAGATCAAAAGAGTTTAGGGTTAAGATGGAAGATTAAACATATACATCTAAATATTTGACCTTCCCAAATCCTAATAAAATTACAAACAAAAAAGGTTTTTTGTTTTAATAATTAAACTTACAGGTACAAAGAAAACTGAAGAGGAAATGACAGCAACAAAATTTTGGAAGCTTGAAAGTCAATGCATATGTGTTAAAGGACTTAGGAGAAGCAAGAAAGCCATATCCTAACTGGTAGAAAAGCTGAGAAGCAAACCTATTTACACTACAGAATCCACAAAACGCTCAGGAAATGACAGCAAAAGGTTCCTCAGAAATTGAGATGAAACTGTAGTAGATTAATATTAAATGGGATGAGCCCAGCCATTGTAGTTCAGTGGTTGAGTGTCGACCCATGAACCAGGAGGTCACATTCAATTCCCTATCAGGGCACATGTCCAGGTTGCAGGCTCGATCCCCTGTAGGGGGCGTGCAGGAGGCAGCCAATCAATGATTCTCCCTCATTATTGATATTTTTATCTCTCTCTCCTTCTCCTTTCTTCTCTATGAAATCAATAAAAACATATTTTTAAGAAAATAAGTGGGATGAAATTATTTGAGAAGTAGTTGGATCCTTACATCCCTTCCAACACTTCACAGCACTTGGCAACACTTCCCTTACCTTGGCAGAGATAGGAGGTATTCTCTGGAGAGAGTAAAACAAAAGGTTTTGGTTTAAGGATTGCCTGGCAAAGACATGGGAATTAATTGAGCATACACCAAAAGCTGGATGATAATACTACCTACCTGATATGGTCTGAATGTTTGTCTCCAAAAAAAAAAGTCATGCTGAAATCCTAGCCTCCAAGATGATACTATGAGGAAGTGGAACCTTTGGG